CTGGAGCTCCTGCTGCACACCTGGAGCTCCTGCTGCACACCTGGAGCTCCTGCTGCACACCTGGAGCTCCTGCTGCACACCTGGAGCTCCTGCTGGGCTTTAACTGTGGAAACACCTGTCCTAAGACCTTCACAGCACAATCAGCACGCGTTAGCAGCATGCTAGTGTTTTATGGTCAGAATTAGCTTCACTGACAGGAACTGAAGGAGGAAGAGTGCTTTTATCCAAAGTCTCTGTTTAGCTCACGTTGATCTCACAGCGCCCCCTAGGTGAACTGCAGCTAACGTTTCACTATGATTAACAGGAAGTGAACAGAATGAAGGTTCACCAGGATCCTGCTGCTGACGTGGAGCTGAAACATTGTTTTCCCGTGACTCCTCCCCAATGAACCGTCCCATGTCAGCCGGGAGTCGCACCATTGCTCAGAGGACACACACAGTAACACACAGTAACACACACAAACTCACAGCCTCCTCCCTGCGCACAGAGATTCCTCCATCGCTGTGTCGATGATGTCCACAGCGAGGAACGTGAATCCGGCTGGAGAACCTCTGAGACGACCATGTGACCGACCTGCTGCCTGCTAATCTTCCTCCAGCTGTTTCTCTTCAGCTCGCTGACTCGTGCAGATCTTCTGTGTTTAAATGTTTGTTCTCTGTCATGAGTAAATGTGCGCTGATGGAAACCATGTCGTGCTGGTGTCTGAGGAGGAGCAGGTGGGAGATCACGCTGGAAACGTTGGGCTTTTCAGCTGAAGCTCATATTTGTGATATGAAGTCAGGCAGAGATTTGGGTTAATCAGCGTGACCTTTCCTCCAGGATCACAGCGCCTCTGCTTGTTTGCTTCATAACGAGGGCGAGCCGTGAGGACGCACGGCTCTCCAGGTGCAGCTGCAAGTCGTCAGCAGTCGTCAGATTAACGAGTGTTTCTTCTCTCACACCGCTAAAAGATGTTTAAAACTGCAGCTACACGTGGCGAGCGATTCCTGCGAGAACAAACACGGCGAGGTCCACGTGCAGCACACAGAGCCCAGAGCTGCACAGTAAATCCATCCAATCATTTCACTGCTTTACAAACTCCACCCACCTGACTCTGCAGACAGGAGGAGGAGTTTCGGGTCACCTGAGACCGACCTATGACCTGTGATGTACACTAGCAGTCAAAAGTGTGAAATAACTCAAAACACGTTTGATTACATTCTTCGTAGAATCCACGGTATCCTCCACGAGCTTCATGAGCTCGTCTCCTGTTTCCAACAGTCTTGAAGGAGTTCAGAGATGCTGAGCAGCTGTTGGCCCTTTGCCTTCACTCTGCGCTCCATCCCAAACCATCTCCACTGGGGTCAGCTGACTGTGGAGGCCATCGGGCGCAGCACTCCGTCGCTGTGTTGGTCACACAGCATGGAGGTGTGTTTGGGGTCATTGTGGTGTTGATAAATCAGTGATGGCGTGTTGCTGCAGGATGCTGTGGCAGCCAAGCTGCTCAGTCTGCCTTCAGTTTGGAATAAATCAGCAGCAAAGCCCCCCCACCATCACAGCTCCTCCTCCAAGCTCCACAGAGGGAACCCTGCATCCTTCACCTTTCTGCATCACACAAACACACGGCAGGTGGAACCAAAGATCTCAAATTTGACCTCATCAGACCAAAGCACAGATGGTCTAACGTCCACTCCTCGTGTTTCTTAACGAATGGGGAAGAACGGGGACCACACCGTGAGTTTCTCTCCTCTTACGCCGATAGCAGCCAACGATGCAGAGGTGTTTTCTCTACCGTGGAAGAAAGTGGTCAGAAACATCCTTTGCAGAGGTCACTTTCACTCCTTCAGGGACCCTAAAGTGGCCGACCAGCTCTCTCCCCGTGGTTCCAGCTCAAACATGACTCCACCTCCTCACTGCTGATGTCGCAGCCTTGTTGGGACATGGTGGCCGTCCACCAACCATCCACCTCTGCATCCATCTGGACCATCCAGGGCTGCGCTGCACTCATCAGTGAACAGGACTGTTTGAAAGTCTTCATGTAGTTCTGGGCCCACTGCAGCCGTTTCTGCTGTGAGCATTAAGGGTGGCCGAATAGAAGGTTAATGCACAGCTGCAGGTCTCTGGAGGCTCCTACAGCTTGATGTTCGCAGGGCTCCAGAGGCACCAGCAGCTTCAAATATGTGTTTGCTGCTTTGTAATGGCATCATTGTGCCTTTACCTGCAGGATGTGTGCTCGGACTCAGCCAAGGTTTTCATTACGTGTCCAAGGCATTCAACTATTTTATGCTTTTCAGCAGCAGAGATCATTTTCCTTCCTACGTTGCTTGAAAACGGTGGTCTCCTTAATCATGTGGAACATCCTTCTTTAGTAGTTTTCCTTTAATTGGGCTCAGCTGGCAGACCGATGATCACAGGTGTCCGAGACTGATTTCAGTCATCCAAGGAGCTCTGAGACACAATCCCATTTAACTGAAAAACAACTTATTTAATCTTTATGACTCTTAAACACAATTTGCATAATAATTTGGAACGTGGTGTATAAAACATAT